ATTTGTTCCTTTTTAACTATTTGCTCCTTAATCATTGGTATTCTCCAACATTTAATTCTCTGATACCTGCTCTGTTGCTTAGAAAGGACTCTCTGGACAATCATATTTATGCTCACAATTTCATTTATCAGCTATATTCTTGGTCTCTGAAGCTTTCACATACTTAGCAAATGCTCAATAAATGGCAGCTAGAGTTGACTAACTTTGGCTCTTCCTGCCAAATGTAAGGAACTCTTCCATCTCACCTGCAACTGACTTAGTTGAAATTTTTCACTGAAATATGTAGCTTCGTGATTCCATAATCAAGTCTATAGAAATAAGAAGTAGAGGGATCTCTTGAAATATGGAAGAATAATGAATCCTCTTCGATACAAATTTTTGGATATTCCTTTCTTGGAATTCATACTTCAAATTTTTTACATTCATAAGGAATGTAATGAGGCATACTTGCTGGACCCTGGGTTTAATCCATAGGCTACCAAATGAAGACATTGTCCTTGCTTTTCTACTTTTTAAGCCTAATGGGGAGACTGGTTAAATCAAGTATTAATTACAACATTTAGTAATAAGGCTAGTGAAAGAACTTTAGAAGGAGCCATGGAAGCAATGAGAAGATGAATATGGTTGCATAGTGGTAGGGAAGGAGAACGGGATTAAACATCTGAACTGTGCTTTAGCAGGAAGAGCCAAAGTTATTCACCTCTATTGGCCATTTATTGAAAATTTGCTAAGTATATGAAAGACATTGAGATAAGAACTTTGTGTTCCTTAACTCATTAAATCCTAACAAAATCTCCAGGAGGTATATACTATCACTTCCCATGATATAGATGAGGAAGCTGAGGTTCCATGGTTAAATAATTTGCATATGATTATATCTCTAGAAGGGACTAAGGCTTGAGCCAATGTCTGACTCTAAAATATGTGCTCTGACCTATACACCCAGAAAAGGGTATGGTCCTGTAGGCTGAGGGAACATGTGCAAAGGCATGGACATGAGAGTACATAGGTATATCCATGGGATTTCAAGAAGGTTATTATAATTGTTCCTTAGTTTGGAAATGAGGAACGACAGTAGGTGGTGCTGAACAGGGCCTTGAAGGACCTAGTTTGTATTCCCTGCTAAAACACTTACAATTTAGCCTGAAGAGAGTGAGGGGGGTTGTTAAAGTATAGTGAGCAAAATAGTACACATTTGCACTTAGAACATTTTTTTCTGGAACTGTGGAAAATACACTGGACCTGGGATGGGTAAATGTCTATGTTGGAGTCAGGGAACTACTTAAATAGCAGTGGTTCATGGGAGAAATGAGGAATGCCTAATTCATTCATACAACCAGCATTGCATTTAGGAACTATGAAATAGGCTGAGTCCACCTAAAATTCTCTATCGCTAAAAAGAGGGAAGAATCCAGCATGATTCTTAGGCCCAGGGTTAGTGGGGAAAGTAGGAAGAGGGGAAATTGACATTTGAACATGTCAACCTTGATGTAACAGTACTAGGTCCAAGTAGAAAGCTCAGCACACAGTTGGCTTTCCCAGGTCTGAAGGAGAAAGGTGGGACGTGGTTAAATAAAAGTGTGTAGGTAGGTAGAACCATGAATATGGGTAAATACTGGGGAGGGGGAGGCAGTGATGACTAGGAAGCCTTTAGGAACACTAATATTTATTGTCAATCACAGAATAGGTTTTAATAAGGAAAGGAAGCTGGGATGGGTGAACAAACAGTAGAAAGAAATTCAGAATCCAGAGATGTCGTGTAGAGGCCAAGGGATAGGCACAAGGAAGGAGCTGCCCACTGGCTCAAGAACTGTAGAGAAGTTGAGATAGAAAGTGAACCATACAGATGTGATTTTTCATAAGGGATTGTTGGTGGCTTTGGCAAGAGCTGGTATAGTACAGCTGAGGTGGACAGATGGCAGCCAGGTGGCAGAGATTTAGGAAATGAAACAAAGTGAAGAAATGCTTCTAAGTTATTATTTTGTGTTGCTAGGGTCAAGAGAGACAAAGATGAGGGATTTCCTCAAGTTGGTGAATATTTGAGCATGTTTTTAAGTGTTTAAAAACAAACAAAAGCAAAACCTATGTAAATGGCTTTGGAGAGTACGCAGTAAGCTGCTGCAGAAGGAGGGTGATTTAAGAGCTGTTACAGAGGAGAGAAACTTTACATGGAACATGTGTTAAAAGACTGAAGACCACCCAAGTGGGCGGGGTCTATGACACTTTTCTGTTGTTCCCCAGGTAGCAGCACACATTTTCTTAGAAACCTGTAAGGCTGATTCCTGTCTCTTCCTGCTCTTCCAAAGCACTTTGCTCATACAGGAAGGATCACATTTAAGTAATCCTGTGTTATAAAAAGCCCATATCAATCCCCCAAATGAGAATTGGAAGTTTGAAAAGGTAATTCATAATCCCTGCCCCCCCCCCGTCATTGTATCCACATATCCTATCACAATGTTTCAGATCAGATAATTTTCAATAAATGTTTGCTGCAATTTTTAAATTTCTGTGCCATATATTGAGCCTTCTCTGCAACCACATGTTGGCCATCTTCATGACTGAGGAAGGAGATGGTTAGGTTAGTGATTGGTATTCCCAGAGATTTTAGAGTCCAATATTTTTGACATTTAATGTAAAATAATTTTACATTTTATTTTTAATTTATTTGTAATGCTGGCATCATTGGTGGTTGTAATAATACCTTTCTATCTGATTTAGACTGCTGTAAGAATATCATGGTTTTTCAGAATTTTCTTACTCGTGTTAATTATTTGTGTTATTTTATTTGTTCTGTTTCAAATATTTTCTTCACTTTGCTGTTCCATCAGAAGGCAGTAGACAAAAGAGAGAAAACCCAAATTAGATAATTGTATTACTTATAGTGTTTAAGTAAGTGTTTATAGAAAATGAAGTTTTGGTTAACAGTTGGTAGAGTGACACTTTTGGACTACCCTTATTTATTAATTATAATGCAAGGGTTATTCAAGTTATGGCTTATCCAGGTAAATTTTATTTGAATTTTATTAAGAGCACCAATTCTATTTAAATGGCTTCAGCTTTTATATTTTTGTATTTTACAAAAGAAATAATGCGGTGCAATTAGTACTTCCTCTATTCTGCAGGAAATCATTCTCTAAGCATAAGTTATGAAATTGTCAAATAAGCAAGCTAGCAAGATGGTAAGGCCATCTTGGCTTTTAAAGAATATTGAGAGAAAAGATATACATATATGCAATTAGTGATGCTGAAATGAATTAGTGAATATATGCAATTGGTCAACACCCTTAGGGAAATAAAATGTAATTTTTCAAACCTCTTTTCTACCCGGCGGAAATCTGTTGCAGAACAAAGTTTATTTCTCTCTCTATGGACAGGAGTAAGTTGCATTACTGTGCGAGTTCTACAACTTACAAAACACAGTGAAAGGCACAGGCCCCTACAAAATCAGATATTCCCAAGGGATCTGTCAGATATTCCCCGGATCCCCACTGAAAGAACACTAATCCTTTTGTCCATTTGAAATTTGTGCACCATATTTTCTGATATTTCCCTTGTTTTCTAGTTCCAACATCACAAGCACTTTCTTTTCTCCCTGTTGTGCACTGTAGCCTCTACCTCAAGGCTTCTATCTCAGGAGAAATAACTCAGAACCCCATGATTTTGAAAAATGCAATTGGAAGTCCAGGTTTTGCCTGGGGATCCTAATACAGGGATGGCTAGAAGTGTAGAGAACTTGGCAGAAGTGAGCTTGTGAACCACCAGCTTGGTTCAGACCTCAAATTCCCAGAAACATAACAATTTGCACCTCCCAGTCAGAGAAGGTTTAGATCATTGTGTAAAAATGCTGTTTTGCCCAGTTTTTAGAGTATTATCTGCAGATGTACAGCACAGCATTGTTGAGAGGGCACTTGTCCATGTATTTGCTCTTGATACTTACCACAATTCTGTGAAGCTGTCCAGTGTTCATTTCTGACCAACTACTTACTTATATAAAAGAGTTCATAGATGGCTGAATAATATAGAAGAGAACTGCAATTTCTCCATAATCTTGCACATTTTAGGTGAAGGATGAGTGATTGCAATTACCGTCCCAACCCCTGTTTCATAAGACAACTGGTAGTTTATCATATTGTGAAGTGATAAATAGAATATACCTACTTATTAGCAATATCTGTTCTTGATTTCAACTGTTTCTTAGCTTTATATTGAGTGGTTTATGGTTTTAGGAGGAAGGAATACATGTAATATGCATTTGGAAATTGTTGTTCTGTAGTTTCAATGAAATGTGGGAGTGAGGAAGTGCCTTTCAATTGTATATATCTCTTTTTAATATTTGCAAACCAAATGTCCATTTCTGTCAGTATGTTGCAATGGGATATAGCCAGAGAATAATTTTTTCTCCTTAGTATTCTAAGACTTCCTATTTTAGAGGAAAGATACGATGTGATTCATCCGATTTCCTTTTGATATTAAAGTACAGGATAGCTCACCACATTGCTTGGAAATGCAACCTAAAGATAGAGATGAACTTCATATGGGTCTAGCAAGTTCTGTTTGGAGGAAGTACATAGAATTTCAGACTGAATACAATATTTGATTTGATTTTCTGTTCAAAAATTTTCCATGGTAAGAACAATATTTTTCTACATACATCAGTGAGCAACAATGATTACTTCAAAGCTTCTGAAGCCAAATACTACACCTGCATGTTCCAAAACAGGTTGCTGAATTTTTTCCCAAGACTCTTGGTAATGTGTACTGTGTATTTCTGAGAATGAATAAAGAATAGTTACAATGGTGTCTACCATCTGTGCAGGTTAATATTAGAATAACGTGTTTCTCTTCTTCACCTGGCCTGCCTTCTCTCTGTAGCTGCACTGCTTACCTAAGGGGACAATTAAAGCATTGCTCTTTTATCTTAAGGATTTGTAACATTCCTAAGATCTTATGCTATATAATTCAATAATAAAATAAAACTATTTTCTTTTTCTTTTCCAGATAAAACTCAGCTATTATTTACTACAATTGAATCTGTAGACTACACCATTTGCAATGAAACTCTTCTCACCATCCCATGCTTAGTCACCAATGTGGGGGCAAAGAGCCTTAGAGAAATGTTTGTAAAGTGGAGATTCGGAGATAAACAAATTTTCTACTATGATGGAGATAAAAATGAATCCAATCCCACCAGTGACTTTTCGAGTGCATACATCATACCAAATGCACTACTAACAGGCAATGCCTCTTTGATGATGGACAAGAGGGATGCTGTCCCAGGAAACTACACTTGTGAAGTAACAGAATTAACCAGAGAAGGCGAAACCACCATAGAACTAAAATATCATATTGGTAAGAATTTCATAATCCTCCCTTTTATTTGTCCTGCAGTGGCCTAATACTATGAGAAATGGGACAAATTGGGCAAGGAACTTCTTGTAAGAAAAAGTAGATTATGACTAACAAATGATTATGTAATGTTTAGCAGCTTTAAGATCATGAGTTTTACTTTCTTTTTTACTTTTCATAATAAAACTCATTTGCTTTTTGTTATTTTCATATTATCGGGTTCTCATAATTTTGTTCAGAGCACTATTCTGCTAGTTTACGGGTCCTGGTTTCATTTAATCTGCATTTCTGTTCGCTGCTCTCAAAAGTACTATCTTTCATGTAATTAATATTCCATGATCTTTCCAATGATGTAGCTTTTTTACTATCTGCACTTTGGTTAAGGGCTGACAAATCCCAGCCATGCTCCAGCTGGAAAAGTTAGATTAGAAGGAGAATCACAAAATCAAAAATCAGGTCATAATGATGTTTCCTGCTATGGTGTTTGTTCTTTTTCTTGGTCAAGATGAGGGAGAGCAAGGGATCCAATAGGATTCATTTGAATTCAGCCTTGGTTATAGCACCATGATTGTGCCCTTCTTCACAGACTTGGGCTGGGGAGTTGCATAAAGCAGTAAAGCTAGCTGAAGTAAACAATCTGCTTTCTTTCTAGTCCTTGCCATGCCAGCTGATTACTTTAACCACATACAGGTGCATACTGACTTTCTATTTTTAAAGCTCTATTTAAAA